GGTCCAGTTGTGAAGATTTTTGTGTAATCCATACTGAAGGCTGTGGTCTTTGATCTTCATCAGTAAGTGCTTCAAGTCCTCTTCACTTTCAGCAAGCGAGGTTGTGTCATCTGCATAACACAAGCTATTAATGAGTCTTCTCCAATCCTGATGCCCTGTTCTTCTTCAGACAGTCCAACTTCTTGGATTATTTGCTCAGCATACAGATTGAATAAGTATGGTGAAGGGGATACAACCCTGATACACACCTTTCCTGACTTTAAACCACAAAGTCTCCCCTCGTTCTGTTCGAATGACTGCCTCTTAGTCTATGTACAGGTTCCTCATGAGCAAGATTCCATATGTATAAATTTTAATTATCTGAAAGTATTTAACAGCCACTAATTAGATTTCATAAGACTCAGTGATTTCTTCTGTTTTTTTCCTTCTTTTCAAGTGTTCAATTTATGAGAAAGTTAGGCATTGAGGAGGCATATCAATACAGAGTTTTCAGTATTTTTTGCAGTTCTCTGTATTGAATATCCTGAGTCATGATGATATGTCATGAGTTGTATTTCTGTTAGTGATGATACATTTCTCTTGTTCTGTCCATAGTTTTTATTTAACTTTCTGTGAAATCTATGTAGCAACTTTCTGTGTTTAGTAATAGTGTTAACTGATTAATATCAGGAAGGAGTTCATGATGATGACCTCATGATTAGCATCATACTGTAGCCAGCTGAGCTGATGTCTTAGTCATCTAGTGCTACTCTAGCAGGAACACCACAAATGGATGGTTTTAACAAAGAGAAGTTTATTCTCTCTCAGTCCAGTAGGCTGCAAGTCCAAATTCAGGGCATCAGCTCCAGGGGAAGGCTTTCTCTGCCGGCTCTGGAGGAAGGTCCGTGTCATCAATCTTCCCCTGGTCTGGGAGCTTCTCTGCGCAGGAACCTCAGGTCCAAAGGACACGCTCTGCTCCTGGCATTGTTTTCGTGGTGGTATGAGGTTCGCAACTCTCCGCTTGCTTCCCTTTTCTTTTATCTCTTCCACACGCCAGGGAAATTCCCTTTACATTGGATCAAGGATGTGACCTGGGTAAGGGTGGTGTTACAATTCCACTCTAATCCTCTTTAACGTAAAATTATAATCACAAAATGGAGGACAACCACACAACCCTGGGAATCATGGCCTAGCCAAATTGATACACACATTTTTGGGGGGACACAGTCCAATCCATGACAGCTAACTTGACATTTTGAATGCTCTTAAGATATTTATTCCTTCATTTCCCAACTCCTGTAAGTATGTCTGCTTTTAAAGCGCATGGTTGCAAACTAATAAGCCAAACACTGTGGGTTTTAATCTTAATTATAACTAGCATTATAAGAAGCACTTGACTATCAGAACTTCAAAGCTTTATTGTAATCACAATGTTGGAATGTATAAAATGTATAAAATTAATAGCTTTAGTGCATTAGAACTTAGTTGGCTACTTTTTAAAAAGAAGATGCTCAAATACTAGTTTGTATTCCTTTCTTGTGTGGGAATTAAAGGGTACTGATCTCTGATGGTGCAAGGGATTAAGTGTTCAGCTGCTAACCAGAAAGTTGGCAATTGGAACCCACCAGCCATTCCATGGGAGAAAGATGTGGCAGTCTGCTTCCATAAGGATTTACAGCCTTGGAAACCTTCTGGGGTAGTTCTTTTCTGTCCTGTAGCGTCGCTGTGAGTTAGAATTGACTCAATGGCAATGGGTTTAGTTTTTTTTTTGTTTTGTTTAAGGATTGGGGCAAGGAGCCCTGGTGGTGCAGTAGTTAAGAGCTAGACTGCTAACCAGAAGGTCTGCAGTTTGAACCACCAGCCTCTCTGAGTGAGAAAGATGTGGGAAGTCAGCTTCCATAAGGATTTACACACTTGGAAACCCTACGAGGCAATTCTACTCTGTTCTAAACCCAAAACCAAACTCATTGCCGTCAAGTTGATTCCGATTCATAGCGACCCTGTAGGACAGAGTAGAGCTGCCCCATAGTTTCCAAGGGGTGGCTGGTGGATTTGAACTGCCAACCTTTCAGTTAGCAACCTTAGTTCTCAACCACTGCATCACCAGGGGTCACTATAAATTGGAATTGACTCGATGGCAGTGGGTTTGGGTTTTTTTTTTTTTTTGGCTTGGAGAGTTGGTTCCACAGGTAACCAACACAGGGAGAGAGATAATAGAGGGGAAATGATAAGGTAAATCAACTTGGTAAAGGTGGGAAAGTCATTTTAGCTCTGCGCAGATGCTTCTGTTAGGGATGACAAGAATGCATGGCGTGGATGATGACCACATTTCTCATTTATGTATCCATCCACATGGGGTGTTCCCATTTGCAAATGGTACCCTGTTCGAGCCTATTCTCATGCTTAATTACCTAGATTATAATCTCTTAAGCAACAAGTTGGAAGACTTCTGCTTCCCCTTTCTTTAGATGAGAAGCCAAGGCAGTATCATGAGCAGGAAGAAACACCAGAGATGACAGCAGCCAGGATTGACAGAGATGTGGTAAGTGCAATAGCTCTCTTTAGGACAGGGTTTTTTTTTTAAAGAGAAAAAAAAATTCACGGGGAAAACACCGTTGATTGAAAAAAAAAGATGTTTTATGGATGCTATATTTTCTACTTCCAGTGGTTGTTAATGCCCTTTGAGTTACTCTTTTTTTCTTGACTATTTTTGCCTTTATGCCAACGTTTAATCAGTATACAGGGTTTTAATAAAAGAACTAGCATATTAACTAGTTTACAAAAGAATTTAAATTACCAAATTTGAAGGGTGGTTCAGTTTTTCTTTTCTCATAGTTTGTAATTTATAATTGGAATATATGTATTCTTGACATTTATTAAAAATATGTTTTAGTATGTCTGAAAGACAAAAGTTAAGTGGCATTTTTTTAGACTAGATATGTAAATTTTAATGCTTTATAAAGGACAAGGCAATATTTATCTGTATTTTTCCATAGTAGTTTATTTGCAGAATAACAGTGTCCTGTGATATGATCATAGAATATCATGTTAATATAATTATTTTTTATAGTATATTCATGTTGCCATTTTGGACTATACTCATATAGAAACAAATACATAAAGGAATTTAAAGTTTAATTTTTATATCACATTATTACTGGTTATAACTCAAAAGCTTATGTAATTCAAATTTCTAGTCTTTCAGTTAGAAAAATGTTACTTTTCACACATATTGGAAAAAATCAACTTAGGTCCAAGGATCCCTCAAAATGTACTGCGTCATTAATTCTGTTTTACCATGTAGAGACTTTTATTAAAGGCTGTTGTGGCAGGTTAGTTACAAGTTTGTTTGGTTATGACAATTTTCTGTATACCTTTTATTCCAAGAAAATAATTCTGTCAGTGCTTTATTGGAACGTTTATTAGGAAAACAAAAAGCTCAGTGCTCTTCCAACAAAATGATTCTTAGAACTTTATTTCCCTAACATTGTGTGGGAGAACACTATGAAAAAATTAGAGGTAATTGAAAATAATTAATAATCTGAGTAGATATTGTGAGTGCTTTCTTTGTGGCATTGAAAGGAGAGCAAAATTAAGCTAGAGAAATTTGTAAATGTCAGACTTTAGCTACAGGTATATTTAGTTCAATGCTTTTTCTTAGAATTAGTGATAAAATTGAAATTTGCCTGTGGGAGTTGGTTTTATTTTTTTTTTTTTGGTTTATGTTTTACTAATAGTATACAGCCAAGGCAAAACTAGTTTTATTTTTGTTTATGTTTTATTCTATAATTTCTAATTCTAGCAAATTTTAAACCATGTTTTGGATGACATTGAATTTTTTGTCACAAAACTCCAAAAAGCAGCTGAAGCATTTTCTGAGCTTTCTAAAAGGAAGAAGACTAAGAAAAGCAAAAAGAAAGGACCAGGAGGTAAGTTGGATGTTTTTTTGTTTTTAAATCTTCTAAAGACCGTTAACTCTAGTGCTACAGTGCTTTTTGCCCTTGTGAACTGCTCAGCAAAACTCCATTGACAGTGGAACCAAGGTAACATTTTTAGTTTTGGGGCAGCAAGAGAGATTTATACAAAGGTCAAAATGTATCCAGGGAAGACTCCATTGTGGTTCTGAGTTGGCTGCAGTGAGGAAAGCTGTAGGATTACAGGGATTCTGAGAGTCAGTTGGTGACCATCTGGCTGTAGTTTGTCTTGGTGATCATAAAATCTGTTAAAGTCATAGCTTTACCCTTCTCATATTTATATTTACTTTATTAATATAGAGCCTCATTATTTTGTTAAAGGAGTGCATTTTCTCAAAAAATTGGGAATCTGAATGGATTTGAATTTTTTTATCAGAAAATTCCAAAAAGCACATTCAGGTCACATACAAAGTCACGTACAAGTAACTTTTAAGTAAGTTGCAGTTCAGCTATTAAAAATAGCCTCTATAAAATTATAATCATAGAACTAATTTTCATACTTCCTATGGCAAAATGGCATAGATTGAAATATATAAACCATAGTAAATATTCCTTACATTACAGATAACTTCCAAATTTTTCTCTAGCTCATAGCTACATTCTAAGCATGTGACCTGTAGCTTTGTCTTCTAGATGTGTAAATCTGGAAGTGCCTCTCTCTCTACATATTCTAAAATTGAATACTGTTGCTTCCTGATGTCTCAAACCACTTATTCCTATATTCTTTATGAAGGGTACAGTGATCTGGTCACCGAGATTCAAAACCACAGATTCTTCTATGATTTCATTCTCTAGCTTATAAACCAAAAACTTACTGCTGTCAAGTTGCTTCCAACTCATAGTGACCTTATAGGATCGAGTAGAACTGCCCTGCTGGGTTTCCAAGGCTATAAAGCAGACTGCCACATCTTTTTCCCTGAGGAAGGGCTAGTGGGTTCAAACCGCTGACCTTTTAGTTAGCAGCCGGGCACTTTAATCACTGTGCCACCAGGGCTCCCTCTAGCTTATAGCTAACATCAGTTCTGTTTTCTCAATGTCTCCTGCATCCAGTTTTTCTCTTTTCATTTGTATAGCCAGCATCCCAGTTCAAAATATCATTTTTTACCCGGCTTCCTAAGTCATCAAGCCTACACTGTTTCCTAAAAGCCTATAGTCCTGCTGTGAGGACAGCCATCTTAAAGGTCTAAGATAGTCATTTCATTTTTCTGCTGTATAATGTTAATTCTATATTCTGTTGATTTAAGTCCAGCTCTTCACTCTGGCAGTCAAGGTCATCCAGTGTAACCTTGAACTACCTTTCCGTGCTCATGTTTCTCTGCTTTTATGTTGGTTGTGTCATGTACACGCAGTTTGCTTTTTGCATGTTTATGCGCATGCTGTTTTTATTCAGCCATGGTGTTTTTCCTACCAACCTGCCCTGGAACAAAACTTTCAGATTTCATCTTAAAAGCTATTTTACCCATGAAACATCTTTTAGGTATACATTTCCCTATCTCGCAACCAGATACAGTCTCTTTGCATAACAGTTACTTGGTACATCTATGTTTTTTATTTACTGATTCACCTCTTCTATCAGATTTTAAGGCCTTTAAGGGCAGAGCCTGTACTTTACTCATCTTTATAATCTTCACAATGATAAACACAATCCCTAGCACGTGGAAGAGATACAGTGTGCATTTATGGAATTGACTTGAGTAATTCATCATGCCTAGGGTTAAAAGGAGCCCTGGTGGCGCAGTGGTTAAGAGCTCAGCTGCTAACCAAAAGACTGGCAGTTTGAATCCACCAGCCGCTCCTTGGAAACCCTATGGGGAAGTTGTACTCTGTCCTGTAGGTTTGCTATGAGTTGGAATCAACTTGATGGCAGTGGGTTTGGTTTTTGGTGTTTTTTTAAGGGTTAAAAAATAGCCGCCTGTCGAGTTGACTCTGATTCATGGTGACCACATGTGTGTCCCAGAGTAGAACTGTGCTCCATAGGGTTTTCAGTGACTGATCTTTTGGAGGTAGATAACCAGGCCTTTCTTCCCAGGTGCCTCTGTGTGAACTTGAACCTCCAACCTTTCTATGAGCAGTTGAGTGCATTAACTGTTTGTACTACCCAGGGACTCCTCTGCTAAAGGGTAGAGGAGTCCTTTTCAAACATTCATCTTCTTAATTTGTTATAATCAGACTAGGAAATATGGTAGAATAGCTAGGGAGCTGAATATCTGATGCAGTCATCAAACTTTACAGGCATAAATGTGTTTTTTTTTCTTTTTCTTTCATTTAGTAGATTTTCTTTGAACTTTGCTCTTATTTACTCCCTACCCCCATTTATTTCACTAGAGGGTGTTTTAACACTGCGGGCAAAACCCCCAGCTCCTGATGAATTTTTTGACTGTTTCCAAAAGTTTAAACATGGATTTAACCTCCTGGTAAGTGAAAGTGATTCATATATAATTAAAAAGTCCAGATGAAAAAATACCAAAGTCTAGCCAGGTTATCCTGATTAAATTAAGAGATGAAATTATTTTTGTAGGTTTTTATGTATGTTTTGATTTGCCTTTTATTAGAACAACAATTTGTAAAATATGTATATCTAAGAAACTTAGTCAAAAAATACTGACTCAATTTTTTTTTTTCTAAATAAACTTTCCTAATCTGACTCTGCCAAGTATGATGAGTATGTTTTGGACCTTTTTGAGTGTCTTTCTCTGCTGAATTACATCATAGTAGCACAAGTTGTAAAAATTGTCTATTTTTTCAATGTTGTAGGCCAAATTGAAGTGTCATATCCAGAACCCCAGTGCTGCAGATTTGGTTCACTTTTTGTTCACTCCATTAAATATGGTAAGATTTTTTTAATTTAAGGCAATAATCGTTCTTAGTATGTTTTTTAACCCCAAGGGCTGGATTATCGACACAGGTTTTCTTCATAAACTGTAATAGGTACTATTTCTCTTGCCATTGAGAATGTGGAATTTGGAAGCTGAAAAGAACTTTAAAAGATATCATCTGGTTCAAACATCTTATAGATGAGGAAACTGATGTCCTTGACAGAGCTAGGGAAATGAAAAGAAATAAAAATGTATTGGATACTAGTGTTTCAGTATACACTAGTATAAAATATTCAGTGACTAGAATAATATAGAAATTTTTCTCTTTCTCACAAAATAGGCTAGTCGTGAGTGGCCTAGGGATGTCTGGCTAGCTGTGCTCCGTGAAGTTATTCAGAAACCCAGATTCTTTTCATCTCCTGGACTGTCTCTCATTCAGTCAATTATGTATTACTTTAGTTACTTAACAAATATTTATTGAGAGCTGCTATGTACTTGGCACTGCAGTAGCTCATCAGAAACAAAATAAACAAAAATCCTTACCCTCTTAAAACTTAGATTGTACTGTGGAGGAGCAGCCAATAACCTAAATAACTGCATAAATAATACATTTTGCTAAAAGATGAATGCTGTGTTGAAAGCACAGCAGGGAAGGGAAATGAGGAGTGCCCAGAGTGTGTGCATGGGTGTCTGTGTGCATGTGAGTGTGTGTGAGTGTGTGTGCTTGTGTTTTGGGGTGTTACACTTTTAAATAGGGTGGTCAAGGAAATACCTTACCAAGAAGGTGTCATTTGAGCAAAGGAAGTACAGGGTGAGTCATGTGGACTTCTCAGGGAAGAGAATTCCGGTCAGAGAATAGCTCTAATGTAAATGCTCTGAGGTGGTAATATGCAAGGTATGTTCTTGAAATACATAGGTATTGTGACTAGAACAGAGTGGGCCGGAGGATATTAGAAGGAGCTCAGCAAGGTAACAAGAGGACATATCATGTTTGTCCTTGTAAGTGATCCTAAGGCCTTTGACAGTTGGAGGATTTTCAGCAGAAAAAGATTACTCTAGCAGAGATGTTTAGAAACTTGAGGGAAGGAGAGGTTGGGGTGGCTATTCGGAAGATTATGGTGCTTGGACCAGGAGCACTGGACATGGTGAGAAGTCAGATTCTGGTTATAGACCATAGAAGTAACAAGATTTACTGATTGGGTATGTAAAAGCTATAGAAGTCAAGGATTCTTTCAAGGCCTAAGACCAGAAGGATGGAGTAATTATTAACAGCAATGGGAAAGTCTGTGGGTAGGACAAGTTTTTGGAAGAAGATAAGGAATTCAGTTTTAGAAATGTCAAAGTGGAGTTATATCCAGATGGAGAAGTGTAAATAGGTAGTTGAATTTATGGATTTCAAGTTCAATGGAGAAATCAGGCCTGAAGATATGAATTTAAAAATCATCTGTCTATAGGAAGTATTTAAAGCTGAGAATTGGGTGAGATTACCAAGGGAATGTTTGTAAATAAGAGGAACAAGGACTGGTTGAGCCCTGGGGAATTTCAGTGTTAGGAGAATGGCTAGAAGATAAGGAACTACCAAGGAAGATTGAGAAGAGGGTGAGTGAGGTGGAAGAACAAGGAGAATGTGGTATTTTGGAAGTCAAATGAAGACAATATTTCCAAGAGGAAGAATTAAGGAACTGTATAAAGTATCTCCGTGGTGAAAGTTGGTTTCCCTCTATGTCTTTGTAACAGCCATACAAAGGCAATGAAAGAGTCCAGGGCAAATAGTTTTGTCTTTAAGAAGGTAACTTTGAACTGAAACAGATATTTCTGGTGATACCCAATTGGCATCAGTTATACCCACATAATTCCTCATATGCCCACACCTGACTGCAAAGGAATAGACTCCAGCTGAGTGTTATGTGCCCATCTAAAATGTAGGGAGTTCTCTGTCTAAAAGAAAGGTGAGGAGAATGGATACTGTGGAACAACTAGCAGTTTTTGGCATGCCTACTGTATGACAGGTATGGAGATATGTACAAAATATAATTGTTCCCCCAGAAAACTCCTTCTCATACAGGTATGATCTGTATTTGCATGAGGTATAATTTTTGAAGCTAACACAATGGTGCGTTGGGAGCAATTATCTTTGTATAATTGCTGGATAGTTCCATGTCTTTATTGATCAAAAGTTCTATACCACATGTGTCATGCTCATGACCCTAGGTACATGTCTCCATTTTCTAGGTTTTCAGTATCCAGGTACGTTCTTCCCTTATACGTTTAATAAAATAGGTATAATACTATATTTTCTTCCCTGTTTTACATTTCCTATATTTGCATATAGTGTAATCGTGATTTTTCCAAGCTTACAAGATGGAATATTATTTAAGAGTACACACAGAAAAGTGCCGGGGTTGGGGAAAAGCATGACTGCAGAAAGCAGATGGAACCCATGTGGGCCTCACACACACTTTCCATAAGGGAGAACAAGGGAGAGAGGGGTGGAAAGAGGGCAGAATCTCTTTCTTTTAAGTACTTCTAGTAAGAAAGAGTTTCCTATTTTATGAGTTAAGGCAGGAGGAATGTATGGAGCAGTATAAATGATTTACCCTATAAAAAATTATTATAGGAAAATAGTAGTGGTGATAATTGTTAGTGTTATATAATTACACTGTGTATCATTTCTGTGACTTTTTAAAAAAGGAATGATAGTCATATAAAGCAACTAAATTTCAGTAATTTTGATTTGAAGCATATGAAGACTATGGCCATGACTTCTTTAATATTTATCAAAACTGGAGCAAATTCAGTTTTTCTCAGAATTTTACTTGACTATCAGAAAAAGTGGAAAAAAGCAGAGAAGCCAAGTAGCAGAAAGGGATAGATATCATTGTTCTTTCCTCGGGGGTAACTAGACAAGGCCTGAAGGAGAATATTAAATGCTTATTGGCTTTATAAACATAGGAAAGTAAGTAACACTGTCAGCATAAATGTCAGAAGCTGGGCAATAAGAGATTAGGAGATGAAAGTCCAGGACTACAACAGTCGTTTACAAATGGTTCAGTTTGTTGTTGCTATATATAGAGCATCCAATTTCTACTTCCCTTCCTATTGGTGAATAATTGTGGCTATGTATAGAGCATCCGATTTCTACTTTTCTTCCTATTGGTAAATAATTATTGCTATATAAGCTCTTTTTAAAATTAGATAAAGGCTATACATATTCAAAGAAATCAGTGCTAACTCATTAACAAAATTTATATTCTTTAACACATTTGATACCATTTTAGTTTGAATATTAGGAAGCATTATTTAAAAAGCCATTTTTGCCACCTCTCATTCTTTTTGCACTCTTTTATAGACAATAAGTAAGTATCTATTCATTCCACAAAGTATAGCTATAAAATGGTGGAACTGCTTTTCTTAACATGCACAAATTAGTCTTTGTGATTAGACCATGTTTCTGAAAACATTCATTTATTTTATCTTTGCCTTTCTCAGAAATAACTCTATTAATGGTCTCTGTCTCAGTATATGGGGCCGCTATGAGTTGGAATTGACTTGATGGCAACGGATTTAGTTTTGGATTTGGTCTTAGTTATCTAGTGCTGCTATAGCAGAAATATCACAAGTGGACGGCTTTAACAAAGAGAAATTTATTCTCTCCCAGTCTAGTATGCTACGAGTCCAAATTCAGGGTGCCAGCTCCAGGGGAAGGCTTTTTCTCTGTCAGCTCTTGGGGAAGGTCTTTGTCATCAATCTCCCCTGGTCTAAGAGCTTCTTAGTGCAGGGACCCCACGTCCAAAGAACGTGCAAGCTCTTGGCTCTTCTTGCTTGGTGGTAATGTCATCCCTTTGTCTTTCTGCTCGATTTTCTTTTCTGTACCTCAAAAAAATTGACTCAAGATAGAACCTAATCTTGTAGATTGAGTCCTGCCTCTTTAACATAACTGCCTCTAATTCTGCCTCATTAACGTCATAGAGATAGAATTTACAACACATAGGAAAATCACATTAGATGACAAAATGGTGGCCAGTCACACAGTACTGGGAATTATGGCCTAGCCAAGTTGATACAGATTTTTGGGGGACACAATTCAGTCCATAATACCAGGCATAATACTTTTGGTGCTCCGTTCAGTGTTCTGCCTACAGGGTCCCAGACATATTACTTGGACGAGGGAATGGAAAGCAACATTTATTAAGGACGTACCATAGGCCAGGCAAAATTTAGTGGCTTTAAAGCTTATAGGTCCTTCCCTTCTACACTCAGCATGTATACACACAGCATACACACAGGATACATGCATTCACACATGCCTACTCGCATTCTTGGGAGGGAAATATCTCCCATGGCCTCTTATTTACGTTTTTTTTTTTTTTAGTTTAATTCCCTCTGTTGAACCAAAATGTTAATCTTCCTCTACACCTTTACTTTGCCCCCTTAGGTTTCCCTCTTAGTCATCTCTGATTATTCACTGGAAGTGCTCACGGAGCTGGAAATTTAAAAATTACTGTGCCAATTGGTCTGGGTAGGTTTCTTCTCAAATAAAGTCAGTTTATCTCCTATATCCTTCATCTTTTCTTTCATTTATCTTCATTCATTCCCCAAACACTGTGTCTTTTACAGTCCAAATAAACCTTGGTTCAAGCTCTGAAGGGAGGGGAAACTGAAAAATAAGCCATAAATTACAATGCAATGTGTTACTGACATGCATAAATTGTTTTGAGAACATGGGTAGGGGGGATGCATCATAGTCACACTGTGGCCTTAGGAAAGGTTTCCCAGAAGAGGTAATACCTGAGTAGAGTTCTGAAAGGTGGAGGAAGGGCCTCCTGGGCAACTGGGAACATCATATGCAAAGGCACAAAGGAGGTATAAAACAGTGTAGTATCCTCAGAACATCAGGATGACTGGAGGGAGATTGACGCTTGGTCTGGAACCATTAAAAAAATCTTTCTTGTGTCATATCTCCAATGAGGTATTTATGAAAGAACCCTTTTTTTCATTCTGCTCTAGAAGACAACTACCATATCGTTAGCCGAGATATCGCTCCTGAGAAGTAAATTTTGAGCAGTTATTGAAATCCACTTGTTTTGCTTTTCAGAGAGCTGCACCTGTTTATTTGTTTCTCTAGTCATTAAATTACCTATATTAAATCAGGGCAGTTTCCTAGAATTAAATTCCGGGAAAAAATACCCTTGATCCAGAGTAGCAGTTCTTCTCTCCCTTTCCTCCATGGGTCCTTTTGCTTTGTATGCCTGTATAGGCACAGCCATGAACTGTGAACTTGAGCCTTGTTTTTCTCTATGGTATTCATTTCTAAAGCTGCATTTTTCAAGTTTGCCATGATAGATTTATCAGTAGGGATACCTATAAAAAATCAGAGAGAGTTAAATCAGCTAACTTGGAATTCTCTGGACAGTCAGTGTTTTTCAGGTAAAATACAGTCATGTGAAAGTTGTTAAACTGTTAACTTTTCATTTTAGATTATTAGACACCATTTGGCTGGGCAAGGACATTTGACAAGCTGTTTTTTCATTCAGTAGTGCATCATATAACATCAAAATTTAATTTGCGTATATAAAAATAGTTTGGGTTTTTGTCTACACATTTCAGAAATATATAAACAATAGTCATCTTCTTGCTAAATTTGTTTTTATTATCTTTTTAGGTGGTGCAGGCATCAGGAGGTCCTGATCTAGCCATCTCAGTACTCAGCCCCCTGTTGAATAAGGATACAATTGATTTCTTAAATTATACCGTCAACACTGATGAACGCCAGTTGTGGATGTCATTGGGAGACGCTTGGATGAAAGCCAGGTCAGCATATATGAGTTTGGCATTTGATACCTAAAATACTTTAAGTATTGTTCTTTGTTTTTCATATGGCTCTAATGAGACAGTCATTGGACAATTTTATCTATGAAGGACTAGGCATTATAGAATGAAAAAGTCTAAACCTTTAAAAAGCTAGAAATATAATGGAGGAGATAGAAGTATATGCAATATAAGGCATGATAAGTGCCAGGAATGAGCCGTAAACAAAATACTGTTGAATTGGCATGGTGGAGCAGGAAGGAAGAGGATTTAGAGAGAGCAGTTAGCTTTCAAAGAAGAGCTAGCATTTAAAATCAACACAAGATAGTAATACTAGCAAATATTTACATAGTGTTTATACAGTATTTTCTGTGTACTCTTCCGTGTACTTTACATAAATATTGTTGTCATCTTCATTTTACATATGAGAAAACTGAGGCACAGAGATGTTAAGAGATTTGCTCAAAGTCACATAACTCAAGCGGCAGAGCTGGGATATGAACTCAGGCAATCTGGCTCTGGAGTTAATGTTAATAAGTACTTTCTTAAATTGCCTTTCAGCAGAATAAGGATCCCCACAAATACGTAGCAGGTAAAGGACCTTCCCAGTAGAGATAAAAGTATGAATGAAGGCATAAGTAGGGAAATCAAGAGAATGGAGTATGAGTTTGGGTTTAGCTGGAATATAGACTTTGAGTAGTTGATGATTGTGGAGAAGGGAGGGAGGAGGAATGGTGTTGGGTCATACAGATGGGCAGGGCTGAGTTATGAAGGGCTTATAACGCTGTGCAAAGGAGTTGGAACATGGTTCTGTAGGTTGTGGAGAACCAATAACTTTGTGAGTGGGAATGTGACATAATCAATCTATGTTTTAGAATGATCAGTCCAGTAGTTGATGTGAGGACAAGGACAAAAAAATAATAGAGGGAGGAAGGCCCCTTGGGTTGTTAATGCTGTGGTAGAGATTTCTTATTAATTACCATTCTCCTGGACTAGAATAGTGACAGTAGAAGTGGAAAAGAAGGGATAATTTTTTTTTATTATTTAAAAAAAATTTTTTTGTACTTTAGATGAAGGTTTACAGAACAAATAGTTTCTCATTAAATAGTTAGTACACATATTGTTTTATGACAACGATTAACAACCCCACGACATGTCAGCACTGCCCATTCTTGACCTTGGGTTCCCTATTACCAGTTTTCCTGTCCCCTCCTGCCTTCTAGTCCTTGTCCCTGGACTGTTGGGCCCCATTAGTCTCATTTTGTTTTATGGAGCTGTCTAATCTTTGGCTGAAGGGTGAACCTCGGGAGCGACTTCATTACTGAGCTAAAAGGGTGTCCGGGGGCCGTACTCTCAGGGTTTCTCCAGTCTCTGTCAGGCCAGTAAGTCTGGTCTTTTTTTGTGAGTTAGAGTTTTGTTCTACATTTTTCTCCAGCTCTGTCCAGGACCCTCTGTTACGATCTCAGTCAGAGCAGTTGGTGGTGGTAGCCGGGCACCATCTATTTATACTGGACTCAGTCCGGTGGCCGTGGTAATGGTGGTCCATTAGTCCTTTGAACTGATCTTTTCCTTGTATCTTGTTTTCTTCATTCTCCCTTGCTCCTGAGGGGGTGAGACCAGTGGAGTATCTTAGATGGCCACTCACAGGCTTTTAAGACCCCGGATGCTACTCACCAAGGTAGAATGCAGAACATTTTCTTTATAAACTGTGTTATGCCAATTCAGCTAGATGTTCCCCAAGACCATGGTCCCCACAGTCCTCCACCCAGAAATTCAGTCCCGCAGATGTTTGGATGTGTCTTTGGAGCTTCCGTGACCTTTCCTTGTACAAGTTGTGCTGGCTTCCCCAGTATTGTGTACTGTCATACCCTTCACCAAAGATACCACTTATCTATTGTCTATTTAGTATTTCCCAAGAGGGGCTAATTTTAAAAACTGTATGCTTGTCAATTGTGGAAGACAAATCATTAACAAATAATAAGCAAAGCAAGTTACAGAAATATTTCCAATTTCATTATATGCGAATAAATAATTTTTCCATTCCTTATTTACCCAAATATTTTTATTTTTCTCACTACTTTACCTGGTGCCACATTTGGACTTTTGATTGCCCCTCCCTGCATAAATTGTTATAAATTATGCCTTCTTCATGTCTTCTCTCCCTTCCAGTCAATCCTATAGTAAATCATTCACTATGGTCAATTAGAAGTTTGTCTTCTGATGCTTTTGAATAGGATTGCCTAAAAAGTAATGGGCCCGTTCGTAAGTTTCTTTCTCTTTCTTTTCTCGTATCAAAACAGATCACAAGGCATTCTCATTTATTTTTTTGGACTTAGTTTGGCAACTACTTTTGTTGGAGATTTATCGAGCAGAAAATTCTTTAAAAGCACTGTAATCATTGCTTTTAGATTGGGAATATGCTTTAGATATATTTATTTAGATAGCTTACTGTGTAAAAGCTGTTTAAATAGATTTATTAGATCTAGTAAATTTAGTAGTTTTTGATTTTATGATAAACCTGGGAGAATATTTTTACTTTTTGCCATGAAGCTTATTAACTTTATCAGATAGTATGGTACAGAAGTTAGCTCAGACTTCATTTCTTTGTTTTGGGTTCTACCTCAAATCAGAAAATTAATAATCCTTTGAAAAAATACATCAAAAGGAAATATATTATGAGCTTTTGACTTGAGAAAATGGTCATTTCAGATCCAAATTTTTAATAGTATTAGGAAATGAATGTACAGATTTAAAGACTCATAAAGTTCAAAGGAATCATGAAGGTACATACTAATCTGAATAAAATAATTTCATCATAGTGTATTTATAAAGAATTAAACCCTATGTGAAAGATGAAACAACATATTGTAGCAGACATGAGTTTCTGTCCTGTTTGTTATTTGTGTGGTTCATGAGTGGTTAGGAGCTTGTAGAAATAGGTGTCACTCAGAATCATTAAATAATGAATGGATAATGATTATGATTACAAATTAGTCCTAACCTGACTTCACTGATTAAAACTTAGCTGATACATTTATAAAATAAGTCATCTGTTTCATGTTAGAAAACTTCATAATTAAATAACCATAAGCCTTAAGAATATATGGGCTGTTTCTCTTTTGAAAGATATTCTAGCATCAGAAGTTTTCAGGAGTGAAGGGAAAGATGGACATATGAGATTACTTTAGATACTAGAGAAGTTTATGTTCTAAATACTTAATCACACTACTGCTTACAAGTTCACGTCCTACACAAATTTAAAAAAATCTGTACCCACGTTAAAGTTGAAAAGTTGAGTTTTAATGGAGAATTGAGGCAATATTGATCTGAAGATTGTTCTAGAATCACTGTTCCCCTCTCCTGCTACCCTAAGTCACCTCTCCCTCATTTTTTCCTCATTTTGTGACAGTTGATGCAGCAGAATCCAGTCTTCCCTTTGGCTTCGTTTTATTGGCACTAGTATTAGTATAAATACATTTTCTTTCTCTTTTTGGGTGGATAGAAGACATTACATCCATGTCATTTTTGGTTATTGGTTTTTTTTTTTGTGTGTGGCTAGCCTTTCTAAAGATAGTTGTGAGTGAATGTGGATACATTTCTTCTCTTAATTTTATTGTTTATATCTCTCAATGTCTGCATATAGAGCAGAGTGGCCAAAAGAACAGTTTATTCCACAGTATGTTCCACGGTTCCGCAGTGGTTGGGAGCCGCCAATGCTGAACTTCATGGGGACACCAGTGGAACAAGATCTTTATCACCTGGCTGAGTCTGTGGCAAATGTAGCAGAACATCAGCGCAAACAAGAAATGAAAAGATTATCCACGGAGGTGAGATGGTTTTAATGTCGCGTTTTGTAGAGTGTAAAATCTCTATGTGTTCTCCAGTAATTCCATTGTATGTTCTCATTTTGTTGATCTGAAGATTGTTCTAGAATCACTGGGTGTTTCCGTCTCCTGCTACCCTAAGTTACTTCTCTCTGACCTCATTGTCATTTTGTGACAGTTGGTTTCTTTCCCTGTAAAGCCTGTCCCCACCCATCTTGTTCTCTTATATCCTGTCAGCCCTCACTCCTACCACTCCTGCCCTATTGCCCTCACCCTGGTGATCTCAGTCCTTTTGAATGTGTCCTTTCTGCCCTTGTCAGGGAATTGCCCTACTGCCGCTTGACTTAATTCTTTCTAATTTCCTCTCCCATTGTCAGACCCTGTCAGTTCCTTGGCTGTAGCTACTCTAAGTCTGTCCCAAACCGCTCTTTTCCTGAATGCCCCATTTCTTTTCACTCTTTTTGCCTCATCCTAAACCTCTGGAGTCCTATCAGCCTGGCTAGAAGACCAAAGTGCCTGCCCCACTTCAGTCCCCAGGCTCACACGATCATTTCTAACAAGATTACACCTTGAGGTGGTTACAAAATGCATTGTGTCTTTTCAGTAGTTAAGTTTTACAGTGTAATCTATTTGGGGAGCAAATTGAGGGAATGAAATTAGGTATGTCATTTCTGCACATTCTCTAAAAAAATTTTTTTTCTGTGCCTTTTCTATCAGAAACACAAATTAAACATTGATTAAAGCTGAACCAAACCCAGATAGGATGGTCAAAACTTGAGAAAATAGGTGAACGAAGGCTAATTTGAAGAAGAAAAAGTAAATGCTGACTAGATCCTCCTTGAAGTCCTGTTTGTTTCTTTTATTTAATGCCTTAGAGCAATTTTCTCAGACTACCATGAGCATTTATAATGTGGCAAACATGATGTGAAGGAATGAATTAGCAAACCATAGTAAATCAAATCCTGTGGCTTTACTTTTAAGGAGAAACATTTATCTAAATTAAATTTCTTAAAATCATTCCCTCGGGGGACTATTCTCTGGACAATAATGATAATATTAGAGAAGATTGGTTATGTTCCGGAAACTTTAAAAATGAGACATACTGCTTTGAGGAAAAAAAACAACTTTTTTTCTAATGTAGTTGTTCTTTCATCTGGCTGCACATAAGCAAGAGGTGGATGTCATACCTGCCCTTTTCGCTAAATGGGTGATTAAGAAGATGACCTCACAGCTCTGAGCACTGGCTGCAAACGTATTTCTCTGCCTGTGTTTTATAGTTCAGACCTCATCACTAGAATTTTCCTTTCCTTTTTTTCCTGGAGGAAAAAATGTAATCAGACATGAAATTATGATACATTTGCTGTTGCTATAGCTACATCTGACAGTTTTCAAATCATAAACATTTCCAGCTCACAGTTTTTATATCTTAAATAAGAAAATACACCCTCTTTATAATGTGTGCCTCAGAAATCCATTTCTGTGGGTTTTTTCCAGTTTATGTATTTAAAGAGAAAGCGATGTATTCTGGACTTCCAGTGTGTAAATTTGTGTACTCTCACCGAATAAGTAATTTTAAAAGAGGAATTTTTGAGACTGCTTCCTTGTAATGAGTTATCATTTTCCTTTTATAAACTATTTCCCACTTTATGGTTTAAGTACTTTTTCAAAAGTTTTTTTAAAAAAAAAAAAATGAAATGAATAAACGCCTGCTGGCAGTTCTAGAGGATTTCATGCCTTGAGATTTTGTTGAAAAAGCGGCCAAGTAATGGTGATTTAAAATGTATGAAAAATGCAGTCATCCCTAGAGGAGAGATTTGATTATACTGTATTACTGCTATAATAAATACGTTTAGTGCCAGACTTGTGTAATTCAGGATCTGGTGATTTTGTTTTGAATTGACAGGCGTAGGTGATGGGGAATGACAAACATGGGTGTCAAGCCTCTGCTTCTGTACTTCCTCTGGACCAGGAGCAACCTTAAATGAGATCATGTAGTCATTGCAGTTAGTCATTTGTCATTGTTTCTCTCTCCCTTCTGGTATGCCCAGTGACTCTCAGGATCCGGTGATTTCACTCTTGTTATGTTCAGAGCTAGACAGAAGGTGTGGGTGATCATAACAATCTCCTCCCTTCATAACAGCTTTAATAAAAAGTTACTACTCATTTAGTGTTTCAGTTCTCTTAGGGAAACAATAAACTGAATTAATTGAGCCAAAGAATTTAAATGAATAAATATGGTTTATTTGTATTTGTGTAAGTAGAGTATCTTAATGTTTATTCTAGAAGAGTAATAGTATAGATATTTTGACATCAACACTGGTTCAGTGGGGACATCCCACCTATTTCGTCTCTGGATAAAATCAGCCCTACTCCTGTCAACTTTGTTGTTAGTAGCTATATGTCCAAGACTTTTCTAAAACAATCCTAATTTCAAATATTTTCCCCAGTTAATCCATAAACAATTGAAATATCTCAGGACTTCCAGTGCCTCAGTGTCTATTACGAATCTCCCATGCTTCATTTTACATGTGGAAGCAGTATAAAATGTTTAGGTCATTTTTTTGTTTTGTTTTGCTATGTTTTTCTCCAATCTGAGTGTGTTGTTTCTATAGTTTTAAAGCCGTGGTGAACAAAGGGAGCATAGACCTCAGCTCTCCCTCTTGGTAGCACCCAATAGGCTCATGTCTGAATTGTGTTTACTACAAAAAGAAGTGACTCCAGCATGGTCTTATTTGGGTGATCGAGATCCGTGTACTTGTACCTTTTTGTGTTTCCCTTAACAGTAAACCTGATACTATGTAATAGTGCTGACATTTAGGAAAAAATTACAAACAGTGCTCTGTGTACCTAAAATGAAAGAAATCCGAGGATGGTGTAATTTTAATGCAGAGAGTGCAGATAATTTTCCTAAGACAATGTTTGCTTTGCTAGAGTTCAAAGGTCTGTTCTTAAACAGCGAGAGCAAAGGGTAAGGGCTTTTTTCCACCAATTTTATTTTTTACAAGCTGTTCAAGACTACCTAATACCAAAATTGCTTAGTACTGAAATTTCTAACGATGGAATTTATTGCTTATACCTGGTCATCTCCAGAATGAAGATTTAGTCTTTGCGTTAATGGCTTTTCTTATTATAAGGTGGTCTTTGACAAAAATGTATTACCTTCACTTCATAATTTATTAGCATAATGATCAATCACTTGAAAATGAAAATTGTGATCACAGTGTAATGGAGGATTGTTTGTTGACTGACCTCAGTGCTCAGATAATATTTGGTGATTCTTCGATCTCTACCCATCTGTCTTTCAGCAATCCAGTGCATCAGAGTATTCTCCAGCTGATGGATGCACATTCAACACTGTTTACACAAGAGGGCCCCATCTGGACCAAGGCGAAGCCGCTGTTGCTGTTAAGCCAATTCCTAATCGCCATGTAGATAGGTAACATTTAATGGGCACCATTTGGAGACCTGTGGGTAATTGTCTTTGCTTTAGTGCTAACAGAGTTGACAGCGTCTGCATTGTCCTCTGCGTACTTCTTTAAATTTTCCATCTGTTAGTTATTTAGTAAAGTTCCAGTCATTCCTTTATGGAGCTATCTTTGATGAACAAAGATGTGTAGAATTCAAGTCTGTAATTTTCAGCGCAGATGTCTTTGGATGCCTTTTTCTTTTTTTTAAAAGATCCAAAAACCAAACCCATACCCGCTGCTGTGAAGTTGTTTCAACTCATAGCAGAACTGCCCCATAGGGTTTCCAAGGAGTGGCTGGTGAATTCGAACTGCCGACCTTTTGATTAGCAGCTGAGCGCTTAACCACAGCACCACCAGGGCTCCTTTTTAAAAGATACTTCTTTTTTTTTTTTTTTAATATTTTATTGTACTTCAGGTGAAGGCTTACAGAACAGATAGTTTCTCATGTAACAGTAACACACATGCTGTTTTATGACATTGGTTAACAACCCCACAACATTTTAACCCTCTAAATACTCAACTTTTTTTTTTTTTTTTTTTTTTTGGTGAAAATACACATAGCCAAAGATACGCCATTTCAAAAAATTTTTTACATACACATTTAAGTGACATTGACTACGCTCTTCTAATTATGCTGTTATTCTCATAAAAGATACTTCTGACAAAATCTGTGAATTAAGGAGAAAGAAGAATTGTTTTGAAACTCTCCGTTAGTTTGTACCAGATGCTCTCTAGGGATCTTTCCAGCTGTGTGACTTTTAACGAAAACAATTTCCATCTTTCTCTTTCCCCAATAAAAACAAACCTTCCTTTAGACAGAAATGTTTGAATGTAAACTAAATGTTTTAACTAAATCGTTTCATTATTTGTCATTATTGCCATTTTATCTTAATATATTTTAGTTTTGCATTCCAGTTCTGTATTTCATTTACTTTGTCATATTTTTACTCCTAAATTCAATATAGGCAGAGACAGAAAATTGGAGTGGGGAAGAAGGAAAGGAACTAGAATAGGAATACATTTTCAGTTTTGTTTCCCAGCCACAGCAAGGTTTACATAGAGACCAAGTCATATGCAAAAAAGAAAAGAGAAAAGGAGGTGAAATACTGGCAACAAGAGTATGTGAGGATGATTGTCTTAGTCATTTACTGCTGCTGTAACAGAAATACCACAAGTGAATGGCTTTAACAAAGAGAAGTTTATTCTCTCGCAGTCCAGTAGGCTAGAAGTCCGAATTCAGTGCACCAGCTCCAGGGGAAGGCTTTCTCTCTGGGTCGGCTCTAGAGGAAGGTCGTTGTCATCAGTCTTCCCTTGATCTGGGAGCATCTCAGTACAGGAACCTCAGGTCCAAAGGATGCGCTCTGCTCCAAGCACTGCTTTCTTGGTGGTACGAGGTCCCCACTCTGCTTGCTTCCGTTTCCCTTTATCTCTTGTAAGACAAAAAGTGGTGCAGGCCACACCCCAGGGAAACTCCCTTACATTGGATCAGGGATGTGACTTTAATAAGGGTGTTACAATCCCACCCTAATCCTCTTTAACATAAAACTACAATCACAAAATGGAGGACAGCCACACAATACTGGGAATGAGGGCCCAGCCAAATTGATACACACATTTTTGGGGGGACATAATTCAATCCATGACAATGATCTTCCAGATGAAGTGGGGTAGAGAACTTGCCTTAGTACTTCCCTACCTCAGAGGCTCCTTTACCACAGGTGTCGTATGCCCTTTGTTTCTTTTCAAATATACTCTTTTCTTAATAGAATCTAAAAAAGATAGTGTTTAAATTTTTTTTTTTTTTTTTTGCTCAAGTGTGATTACAGTGGTAATGTTTAAATAATTCTTGTAGGAATTATGCAGGTATTATTTTAATGGTACCAGTAATATATTCAATTGGATACAAAGAAAAGTCACCAATGAATAATGTATTTTGAAAATGCCAGTATATGAAAATCAGTTTTAATTATAGATTCAATTTTTGGTAGATAAGGTGAGAATCAGGTTTGAATTTAAAAATTATTTCATTGAAATGTGAGTATTCTATAAATTATTTCAGATTAGTAGTTCTTTTTTTTTTTTTTTTTAACAACTCCTGTAAATCAGACTGGTTCTCCACAGCTAAGTATCTAGAAACCTACTTGAGTACATTTTTCATGTGTGTTCATAGTTAGAATATAGTGATACTATAAAACTTTATTCATGTTCCCTTTTAAGAATCACAACTAGTACATTGTGGGCACTCAGTAAGTAAGTGTTTGTAGATTTATTGATGGATTAAATGACTGAATAAGTGCAGGTCAGTGTATTCAACATTTCAGAGTCACTACTTCCCTCTTCTTCACTTGCAAATCTGTAAGATATAATATTTTGTTGTTGTTAGGTGCCATCGAGTCAGTTCCGACTCATAGCGACCCTGTGTGCAACAGAACGAAACACTACGTGGTTCTGCACCATCCTCACAGTCATTGCTATGGTGGAGCCTGTTGTTGCAGCCACTGTGCCAATTCATCTTGTATTTTGAGTGCCTTCTAACCTGAAGGGCTCATCTTCTGGCACTATATCAGACTGTTCTGCTGCTTTTCCTAAGGTTTTTACTGGCCAGTTTTTTCAGAAGTAGACCACCAGGTCCTTCTTCTTGGTCTGTCTTAGTCTGGAGGCTCCACTGAAACCTGTTCACCATGGGTGACCCTGCTGGTATTTGAAATACCGGTGGCATAGCTTCCAGCATCACAGCAACATACAAGCCACTACAATACAGAATAACCTCCTGTCATTTATTTTGAACAGCTTATCCCGAAGTCTTTTAAAGTTTTTATAATCTTTATGAAATATTAGGGTAGTGCAGTTCCTGGGTTATGTAAACGGTTAATGCGCTGGCTGCTAACTGAAAGGTTGGAGGTTCGAGTCCACCTAAAAGTTCCTCAGAAGAAAGGCCTGATGATCTACTTCCCCAAAATCAGCCATTGAAAACCTCACGGAGCACAGTTCTACTCTGACACGTATGGGGTCGCCATGAGTTGCAAATGACTTGACAGCAACTGGGTTTGTTTGGTACCTTTGGTAGTTATATCTTTGTACCCCAACTAGTTCTAAAATGGATTCAGGCAGCTCAGTTAAAGTTAAAATTAAAAATTAAATAATGAAATAAAATACAAAGTTAAGAGACAGGATAAGAATTAAAATTTATGAAGTGTAAGGGTTGACACTGTGATTGAGTTTCAGATTTGTGTCTGAGGTTCCTGCTTGTCAGAGGAAAAAAAAACGTGATCAGTTGCTATCGTTAGAAAAAAGAAGATGTATATATTTTATCAGTTCCTTAGGATAAACAATGCTTTTCCCACTACAAAATTTTCAAAAATATTTATCTTAGGGAACTTTGTATAGTATGTGATAGGTGATGTGAGGAACATTACTTATTAACAATATTTTTTTCCCTCATTCAGTGAATGTTATGGTAAATTTCATAAGATTTCTTTTAGTAACTTTTGATAAATAGGAAATTTAAATGTAATTTAATGGAGAAAATTCCATGATGGGATATTCAAGTATATTTTCGGAAGCAGATCACAAGTCTTATCTTCCAAGGTGCCTCTGGGTTGTTTAGAACTGCCAGCCTTTCGGCTAGTAGTTGAGTGCTTAGCTATTTTACACCACACAGGGACTCAGATGGTCAAAACTTCTCCAGAGAAATAATGTTTTAAAAATACATTGAGTGGTGGGTAGATTGCATATCTTGATTGTATTTGTGAATCCTGTCTCTCAGCCTAATAAAAGCTGAATAATTGATAGATACTTGGATCATTGATGTTCTTTGTTGCTAAGAAAGTATATCATTATTGCAGAGACTATCTGAAAGTCTGGTTTGATATAAAATACACAGAGGTTTATAATCTTTTAAATATTTTATTGTGTTTTTGGTGAAAGTTTACACAGCAAATTAGATTCTCATTTAAATTTTCTGTATTATTCAGTTCCATTGGTTACGTTTTCACGGTATGTCAGTATTCTCGTTTCATTCTGGTTGTTCTGTTTCCATTAATCTAGCTTCGCTGTCTCCTTTACCATCTTATCTTTGATCTAGAGTAAATGTTTACTGTTCGGTTTTATTTAGATGATTATTTAGAGGAGCACAGTACTCACAGATGATATTATTTATTTTATGTATCACCTGTGAGCACTCATTTGGCTGAAAGGTGACCTCTGGAGGTGGTTTGAGTTCCAAGTTTAAAGCGTATCCCAGAGCAATAGTCTCGGGTGTTCCTCTAGTCTCTACTGTTCCAGTAAGTCTGACCCTTTTTTAGGAATTTGAATTTTGTTCTTCATTTTTCTCCCATTCTATCCGAGACTATCTATTATGTCCCTGGTCAGAAAGGTTGGTTGTCGTAGCTGGGCATCATCTAGTTCTTCTGGTCTCAGGAGAGGTGAGGCCATAGTTCCTGTAGACTGTTAGTCTTGTAGACTAGTTTCTTCTTTGAGTCTTTGGTTTCCTTCTTTCTCTTTTGCTCCAGACGAGTAGAGACCAATAGTTGTATCTTAAATGGCCACTTGCAAGCTTTCAAGAATTTCTTTATGAACCGTATTTACCAATTGACTGAGTTGCCACAAAAAACTATGGCCCTAAGCTCTCAAACCCAGTAAACTCAGTAAACTGCGAGGTGTTTGCTTATGTCTAGGAAGTAACTGTAACTGTGCCCCGTGCGCTTTATTTTATATATGAATATATATGCAGCACACATGAACAAGTATATACAATATGGCTACAAGTACACCTATATGTGCACATTCATATATTCATATGTGCCATACTATACATATATGTAGAATAGCATATATATATATATATATATATATATGTATATGGTCACTATGAGTCAGAATCAACTCGATGGCAACAGGTTTGGTTTTGGGCTTTTTTATACTTATATATGCATACATACCTATGTAACCACACATACATTTTTTAGTTGTTATTACTGTTGTTGCAGAATTGTACATAATATTGCATAATTGTGTATATTTACAAAATTGTCCCTTAAC